GCGCCCTCCAGTAGGGATCATTAGGGAGGAAGGCCTCCCTAGGGGCACGGTTCGAGTTGTCCAGGCAACCTAGACACGAATCACCCCACGAGAGACAGGGTAATCCCGCCTCTCTTAAAAGCCGGTGCAACTTGTATCGCGCCCCAACTGGATTGCGTTACTCAAACCTGATGCGATCTGCACCATGTTTGGCGAGCCAGGCCTCACAGCTAATGCACTCGATGTTATGGATGAGGGCATTCCATCCTTGCACCAAGGCTTTGCCGTCTCGAACACGGCTGCCATTGTACCGCCGGTGTTACGAAAAACGCATCGGTGAAGAATTATTCCTCCGCACGGATAGTTTCCATGCTGGAATCAGGTGAGCAAATCCTCCTGCAATCAAACAACGGGATTCGATCCCGTTCGGTTGTCATGCCGACCAACCGGTCCAACTCTCTGGATGACGGCATCCACGGAGACTCCACTTGAGGAGCGTGGCGCAGAACATTTCCGTCCCTGGCCTCTTGATTGGTGCCAGCGTGAGCGCTGACACCAGTGACACCTCGATCGCTCGAGTTACTTTGCTCGTGGTGATGTATAGGTGTATCACCACCATCCCCACGAGTCCTATCGTTGGAAGGACTTGCGTGAGGCGGCGATTCGTCGGAAGAATCGCTCGATCCGAAGATCTCGGACATGATACTGCCGCGCTGACAGGAGCCGGTCAACCTGGCTCTTGCAGCGTCCTCCCCGGGTGACCTGGAGGCGTGAGGTGTCGCCTTCGAGTCGGATACATCATCCAACTCGCCGGAATAGATGAGCTCTATTTTAGACTCATCTTGATACGACTCGTGGTACCCGCTGCAGACGCAGCAGATGTACCTGTCGCACGGGGTGACTCACCACGTGGACGATTCACAACAATAGGTGACGAATCACCTGCTGCTGAGGTGTGAGAGGCACTTTTCGCGGCTGCACGCATTCGTGAAGCCGCCGCCCTACTTGCTGCTTCGGCAGCACATCGCATGGACTTTGACACCATGCGTTGGATTGGCAAATGAATGAGATTTGACCAACAAGTGATCCCTTTCACAGAGTGATCCAACGGTGGTCACCCTGTCCCAATCAATTCTAATTCAATCAATGGGCGATTGATGGTTAGTGGAGGGGGGTTGGTGTAACGGGGTAGCCCATTACATGATATGGACACCAAACGGTTTTAATAGAAATATTGTCTAGCATGACAATATTTTACCAATATTATCCGAGATAGATGGTATTGAAGGAATACTATCCCTTTTATATATTATTCATGCGCTGTTCCGAGATTGATTAATATAAGACATATCAACCATAGATTGCCACCAATCGCTGCTAGACGTGCGCAATGAGTGGTGAGCAGGTTGTCGTCATACGACGACGTAGTTTAATATAGTTAGATAAAGATTTAAGCTGTATTGATAGCTTAACTTTGTAAATTCAGTTCTCTTTTTACCTTTACTTAAACGAGTCGTTTAAGTAGATTAGCTTCCTCTGCACGTACTAGTGTACGTGAAGTTTCGTGGCACCCAGACAAAGGGTGCCCCGTTACACCGACATCCACGAAAAAGCAAAGGGACATTCCTGGTCAACGTCGAGTGCACCACTGTTTCCTGGGTTAGCGCGCATCAACACAATCAGGTGCGGTGCAAGGAGTGAAAATAATGATTGCCACTCTCCATCAATTTCTTCGATAACAGCTTCCTTGGCTCTGTATACTTTATTTCGAGAGTGCTGCCGATTATTGCTGTCACGAGCCTGAAAGAGAGCCACAAGCGTTTTTCGCTTGATGCCTTTTTAACCTTGTACGGCGGCCTTAAATGTCGGCAGAATTTAAATTTGTCGAGCGAAGATGGCTTGACGATTGCCAGGCACACGTCGGCGTTAATATCATTTAAGTTGTAAATGTAGTGCTCTAAGGCTGCACTCATCCGCTTCATCTTCGTCAAAGGAACCTCCCATGGGCATCGATCCTGTGGGCACACATTCATCTTGATATAGCCACCTTTTTTTAACCCTGTACTGCCGGTTGTGATCGACACAGTAGTCTTTCAAAAACCTGGTTGCAGCAGCACCAGACTAGAAAATTTGTCCATGGGCTAATTTAGTGGCTCCATAACTTGCACCTGAATCAATCGCCACCCTTTCGCGTGACATCTTGATGAATCCTGCTGTTGTTAAGCACTTAAATTCGTGACGCGTATAGCAATATAATGTTCTTATGTTTGATGCACCAAGTAGTGTGATCAGTACTAAATTGTTTATTAGCCGGTGCAGTTTTGGAACCTTTGACCTATGATGGTGCTGTTTTAGAACCTTTGACCTATGATGGTGCTGATTTCGAAATTTTACACTTTGAGGACATCGCTTACTCTGACTGGAACGCCGGCGAAGACATCCACCACACGACATTTTTGCGCGAAAAAATGTTCAACTGTATTTGATTGAGACACAAAATGACCCTAAAAATCCAACTGATCGTGATATCATTTAATCTATTCGTGACTCATAACAAGACAATCATGTAGCATTATACTGAACTGAAGAGATTTTGCCAGAAAAACTGAGGGGTGATCAACGGTTCCCAAGTATTAAAATGACAAATTTTCTCATCATTTCCGTGGGCACTGTCTGTGTGCCCACATAAGTCGGTCAACCGTAAGGACATCCAGTCTTTGTCAACCCAAAGCATTAGACGTGTAGTTTTTTGTTTGTCTAGTGGATGAGCCGTTCGTGTGCTGCGCTCTGTCCCAGGCCACTCGTCGCAAGCTGTAAGAAAAACCATGAGCACGTACATCGCAGGCCATAGTGCAGTCTTGCTACGAGCATCGTCAGTGCTGTGGTTGTCACTTTTTGAGCGTGGAGAGTGTCCAGCAGCAATTGATGTGCATTTTTCTGGTGCATGGGAGAAAATAGAAGCTGTCATGAGGCTGAACCCCAAGATGCTGTGCCGGTCCAGGGTCTTGAAAAATCCAGTGGTCTTTTTCCTTGTGTGCGACCGACGTACGGCCGACGTCAGCGAACACAAAAAGGCGGCACAGGTCGTCCGGAGGTATCAATAGCGCAGCAAGGATGCGAAAGCAAATGGTACTTCTGTGAGCTCTGAAGATGGGGGTGCAGATGGGGTTTTACATCCCCTGTAGAGCCGAACATATGTGTGGCCTTTGTTTGCCGGTCAAGCGATGCGACACGCACCTTCCTACCAATAAAATGCAGCTGAGGTGATGTTTTCTTTTGTTTACTGGATGAGCCGTTCGTGTGCTGCGCTCTGTCCCAGGCTACTCGTCTCAAGCTATAAGAAAAACCATGAGCACGTACATCGCAGGCCATAGTGCAGTCTTGCTACGAGCATCGTCAGTGCTGTGGTTGTCACTTTTTGAGCGTGGAGAGTGTCCAGCGGCAATTGATGTGCATTTTTTTCTGGTGCATGGGAGAAAATAGAAGCTGTCATGAGGCTGAACCCCAAGATGCTGTGCCGGTCCAGGGTCTTGAAATATCCAGTGGTCTTTTTCCTTCTGTGCGACCGACGTACGGCCGACGCCAGCGAACACAAAAAGGCGGCACAGGTCGTCCGGAGGTATCAAAAGCGCAGCAAGGATGCGAAAGCAAATGGTACTTCTGTGAGCTCTGAAGATGGGGATGCAGACGGGGTTTTACATCCCCTGTAGAGCCGAACATATGTGTGGCCTTTGTTTGCCGGTCAAGCGATGCAACACGCACCTTCCTACCAATTAAATGCAGTTGGGGTGATATTTTCTTTTGTTTACTGGATGGGCCGTTCGTGTGCTGCGCTCTGTCCTAGGACACTCGTCTCAAGCTGTAAGAAAAACCATGAGCACGTACATCGCAGGCCATAGTGCAGTCTTGCTACGAGCATCGTCAGTGCTGTGGTTGTCACATTTTGAGCGTGGAGAGTGTCAAGCAGCAATTAATGTGCATTTTTTTCTGGTGCATGGGAGAAAATAGTAGCTGTCATGAGGCTGAACCCCAAGATGCTGTGCCGGTCCAGGGTCTTGAAATATCCAGTGGTCTTTTTCCTTGTGTGCGACCGACGTACGGCCGACGCCAGCGAACACAAAAAGGCGGCACAGGTCGTCCGGAGGTATCAAAAGCGCAGCAAGGATGCGAAAGCAAATGGTGCTTCTGTGAGCTCTGAAGATGGGGATGCAGACGGGGTCTTACATCCCCTGTAGAGCCGGACATATGTGTGGCCTTTGTTTGCCGGTCAAGCGATGCGACACGCACCTTCCTACCAGTAAAATGCAGTTGGGGTGATATTTTCTTTTGTTTACTGGATGAGCCGTTTGTGTGCTGCGCTCTGTCCCAGGCCACTCGGCGCAAGCTGTAAGAAAAACCGTGAGCACGTGCATCTTATGCTATTTCCGCTTTTGTTTGGTCTCGTATGATTATTACCAAAGCTGTTTACGTTGCGTAGAAAAATCGACATCGCAAATGGAAACGCATTTTTTTTAATAATCGTGGTAACAACGTATCCTTTTAATATCCGTGGTGACCGAAGGAGCGCGCCAAATCCTTATTTATGCGTCTATACACGAAGGAAGTATTTGTACGCGAAGTCACCTCATGTTCCTAGAGGAAGAGCAAACTTTCGTTGTCACGAACATGCTTTATCTTTTCAGCGAACTCGAATTCGTTCTAAAATAACTTGAATATGCATGTACGTATAGGCTCTCGCGTGTAGTGAGGAACAGATAACAGAGAATTGGCGGTTAATCCGAAGGACTGAAGAAAAAAAATCCATATCGAGCACACGAGCCTATCCTGCTTTTCTTACTCGTATGAATGGGCTGTCCATGGGTTGCATTAGAATCGAAGATAGAAGTCCTATCGAATTATTTAGAAAACCTTAGGAACACCGATCAACAAAGTGGCGTCTTGCGTCAAAGAAGAGAGCCCTCATTTTTCAAATAACACCCAGCAGCTTGCCGATCACCCTACAGTTGTACATCGAGAGCATCATGAAGATCCCCAACCTTATCGCTGCGGCCATGTTCATCGCCTTTACTGCCGAGCAGTATGCGGCAATCCCCACATTTGTGGAGACTGGCCAAACCGGAATGATGGATCAGTTACCGGCTCCCTCGGCTGTACCGGAATATGTTTCTAAGCCTGTGCCGGAAACCCTCCCTCCTAAGCCTAGAGACTCGCTAGGGCCCCCATCACATCGAAAGCTTGAAACCTACACCCTTACAAGAGCCATGAACCCTACTTGGACTGGGACCATGAATACCAACCACATTGGCGGTGACTTAGCTGATATGTCATCTATCACCATCGGCGGCAAGACCAGAGCTTTGGGTGCCGCTGCAAGCCCATCGCCTGAAATGAGCGAAACCACAGTGACGGAGCGTACGTCGGACGTCAACCCCACGCGGGAATCTTCTTCTGGCGCTGACACCGGTCCACCTACGTTCTCGTCAGGCTCTACCTCGGTGGCCGCTGGCAGTGCGATGATTATGACTGCCATAATTGTCACTTATTTCCTATGAGTGCATGGAGCTCTGGACTTGCAATGGCATCAAGTGAGTTAAAGTGGTAAATGAACAGCACCTCGCCCTGAATCCCGCCTGCATACCCAAATGGGTCGTGGATGTCCCTTCGAAACGAGGATTGGCCTTTAAGGTGAATGTAAAGATGTAAAAACTTTTTCGCTCTTCTCTGTTAACTGTAATCGTTTCCAAATGCACGCAAATTCATTTTCAATATCTACAGCTGATGAAACACGACTCCACGCTCGTTGCAACCACACCGCCTGTTCAATGCGACGAATGTAGGCTTTTCGTCTAGAACGTGAAGACACGGCTCATACAAGCACATCACTTCCTTGGTGGAGACGGTTCAGATAAGAGTAGGCGCGCGTGATAGATCCACTTCGACATTTGACAATTACGGTGTCATTCGTGTTATCGGTTTCTGCATGTGAAATTAGCGCCGCAGGTGTTGCTTGCAGCAAGACTGCACTCAAGCGGACAAATGGCCTGCGATGTACGTGCTCAAGGTTTTTCTTATAGCTTGCGACGAGTAGCCTGGGACAGAGCGCAGCACACGAACGGCTCATCCAGTAAACAAAAGAAAATATCACCCCAACTGCATTTAATTGGTAGGAAGGTGCGTGTTGCATCGCTTGACCGGCAAACAAAGGCCACACATATGTCCGGCTCTACAGGGGATGTAAGACCCCGTCTGCATCCCCATCTTCAGAGCTCACAGAAGTACCGTTTGCTTTCGTATCCTTGCTGCGCTTTTGATACCTCCGGACGACCTGTGCCGCCTTTTTGTGTTCGCTGACGTCGGCCGTACGTCGGTCGCACACAAGGAAAAAGACCACTGGATTTTTCAAGACCCTGGACCGGCACAGCTAAAGGAAGTGATCGAAGTTTTGCAAAATGCACAGTGAATATATTTAGGTCCTTAGTTCACAACCTTCTGTTGCTACTCTAAGCCTACTGAATTCTTTCTGACTCTACGTTAGTAATCGTCTAGTCGTACATTACTAATCGTCTCGTCGTACGTTTCTAACTCAGATAGTGTGTTTCTAACAAACACCGTAACTTACTAACATGGGGGACGTCACTGTCTGGCAGGACAGTGCTGGTGAACCCCGGCACACCAGTACCCGAAGGTTTTAACTTTTTGTTGCAGTCACTGGATATCGAACCAGTGACCTCTCGCATGGTGCTGCCACACCAAACCACTTGAGCTACAGGTTCTTGTGCGAATACGCATGCCGAGGCGCATTTGTGACAACACTCCCACTCGCCTCGGTAGAAGTTAGCACCTTGACACCCAGCATGTTCCGTAGATGTTGAAACTGTACTGCAGGAATAGGCTTCGTCATCAGGTCGGCCTTCATGTCCTTGGTAGAGCAGTATTCCAACACCAATGTTCCTTCAGCCACTTTTTCGCGTACAAAGTGATACCGAATGTCAATGTGTTTTGTGCGCTTGTGAAATTCGGGATTTTTGGCCAAAGCGATGGAACCTTGATTGTCTTCGTAAATCTTGACAGCTTCATCGCTCCTCATCTCGTTGAGCTCACATAATAGTGCCTTCAGCCAAATTGCTTCTTGTGCAGCTTCCGTCAAAGCCATGTACTCCGCTTCCGTAGATGAAAGAGCCACAGTGCTCTGTTTCTTACTTCTCCAGCTTACACACCCGTTGTTCAATATGAACGTGTACCCGCTTGTGCTTCGTCGAGCTTCCACGTCTCCGGCCCAGTCTGCATCCGAGTAGCCGTGCAGTTTGTCATTGTTTGTTGCTTGATACTCGATTCCATATTCCCTTGTGCCTTGGATGTAACGTAACACCCGCTTAAGAGCTTGCCAATGGGTCGGACAAGGGTCTGCCGAGAACTGGCTAAGCACTCCCACTGCAGCTGCAAGGTCTGGGCGTGTACCCACCATAAGGTACATCAAGCAGCCGACTGCGTTGCGAAATGGCACATTTGCCATTGTTTCGTCATGCTTGCACCCATCCACGCACATTGACTTTGTCAGCTTGAGTCCTGGTTCTTGTGGAGTTCTGACAGGATTGCTGTTATCCATGCCAAATTTCTCAAGGATGTCCTTTGCAAATTTGGACTGACAAATCGAAATCGTACCAGCTGAACAATCTTGGTTAACTTCCACTCCTAGGAAGTACTTGAGGTCGCCAAGATCCGTCATGTCAAACCGCTCACTTAGCGCATCCTTTGTAGCTCTAATCAGTTCGGCGTTGTTGCTTACGAGGACCAAATCGTCAACGTACAGCGCTACAAACTCAAGTCTTCTTGATCTCGCTTGAAATAAATGCAATGGTCGGTCTTGCACTTCTTAAAATCCAAGTCCAGCATAAACTTGTCAATGGTCTGGTTCCACATCCGTGGGGACTGCTTCAGACCATATAGAGAGCGCTTTAGCTGGCAAACAAAGTCCGGATGATCTTCATCAACGTATCCATCCGGCTGCGCCATGTAAATATCTTCCTCAAGATATCCATTTAGAAATGCTGTCTTGACATCCATCTGGTGAATCATGAACGAGTACTTCGCCGCTAAGCTGAGTAAAACTCGGATGGATGTGAACTTGGCCACAGGAGCGAAGGTCTCGTTATAGTCAATGCCATGTTTCTGTAAGAAACCTTTGGCTACCAAACGCGCTTTGAACCGCTCGATTCTTCCATCCTTGGTCTCCTTTACCCGAAATACCCATCGATTACCAATTGCCTTGCGTCCCTGTGGAAGCGGCACGAGATTCCAGGTCTCATTTTGACGAAGGGAATTTATTTCGGAGTCACAAGCCTCTTTCCACTTGACTGCGTCGCTGGATTCCATTGCTGACTTGAATGTCCTTGGTAAATCTCCCACTGAATCCACGACGTAGGCAGTCTCAACAGAGTGACTGGTATCAGCAGTCGCAGACATCTCGGCCATGGTAAGGTATCGAGCTCGACGTTTCGCATCAGGAGCGTTGGCCAAGGCCTCGAGCGACTGTGTGCGTTGGTGTCTCTTAACGCCGGGTTCATCAACGCCATCCATTGTAGCCTCTTCAAAATTCATGTTGCTGGTGTCATGAGAGGAGTAGTCCTCCATAGGTACATCCTCATCTTCCATAAAAGCTTCTTCTTCGACGACGGCTCCATCTTGCACATAGTCGCGTCTCCCACTGTCGAAAACATTCTCCATGAACTGTGCGTCGCGACTGACCAGTACACGACGACTCTTGATCTCCTCGAAAAGGTACGCTTTTTCATGGTCGGAGTATCCAATGAACCGACACTGAATCGATCTTGCATCGAGCTTGGACCGCTTTGGCTTGGGCACATGCACGTATGCATGACAACCGAACACCTTCAGGTTTGCAAGTATAGGTTTCTTACCACTCCATACTTCGTAGGGTGACTTGTCGTGACTTGTTGAACGACTTGGACAGCGAAGACGTAGGAAGTTCGCAGTCATGACTGCCTCACCCCAATACGACTTGGATAGCTCAGCATGTTCCATCATGCAACGAGCGCTTTCCACTAATGTCCGATTCATTCGCTCGGCGACACCGTTCAATTGTGGAGTGTAAGGCGGCGTGAATTTCTGCATGATACCATGGTCCGCAAAGAACTTGGACATCGTTCTGGAAGTGTACTCACCACCATTATCGCTTCGAAGAGTCTTCACACGTTTGCCAGTTTGGGTTTCCGCCAACGCAACAAATTGAGCGAACTTGGTCGCTACTTCAGACTTGTTTTGAAGCAGATACACCACACAGTAGTGCGAGTATTCGTCAATGAAAGTCACGAAGTATCGTTTTCCACTGAAGGTAGGAGTTTTCATGGGGCCACACACATCGCTGTGAATGACCTCCAGCAACATACGTGCTCGGTCGGGTGACTTGGGCATATAGCTCACACGTGTTTGTTTGCCAAGTGCGCATCCTTTACAAAACTCCCACTTCTGCACAGACTTCATGCCGATTCCACTGCCGTAATCTTTCTTGACGATGGCGTCTAGACCACCATGACCAATGTGGCCAAGTCGAAGATGCCAAAGGTAGGAAGTGTTGTCTCCTTTGAAGTTTATTGGACTCGCCACATTGACCTCGTCAGGAAGCACCGGTGTCATACAAAGCTTGAACAATCTCTTTCCTTCTTGAGCGCCTAGTTTCCACTTGAAACCATTCGTTTCCGCGAAGCAACCATCGACTTCAAAGGTGACAGGCCCCACGTCCTTGATGAATCTTCCAACGGAAAATAAGTTTCGAGATAACTTTGGGATATGCCACACATTTGTGAGCACACCCTTCTTGACGCCCTTACGAGTCATCATTGACATGACAATGTCACCCTTTCCAATCGCTTGTACAACTCCATCATCAGCAAGATGCACATCTACTGGTCCAAAGTCCTTGTAGTTCCTCATGAACTCTTTCGAACTTGTCATGTGCTGCGTCGCCCCTGAATCGACCAGCCACATGTAACTCGACTTGGTCTTGCCACCACCAACCGAGAACAGGTAATCGCCAAGCTCCGGTTCTTGCGCGATGTTTGCACGCTGGTACCTGTGTCGATCAGCGTCTTCCTGGATGCGCGAGGGGCATTCGGCAATCCAATGTCCTTGCTTTCCAAAATTGTGGCACGCACCGGTCTTCTTAGCCGGTCGAGCCTTGCGCTTGTTGTCTCTTGACATGAATGCTTGAGCTTGACCGTGCGCGGCTCCTTCGATTCCGCCACCTTGCTCCTTGCGCTTCATGTCTTCATGAAATAGCCGAGACGTCACTAGTTCCCACGACAGAGAGTCGGCTCTCGACTCCAATGCTGTTATCAGGAACTGGTACGACTCGTTCAGACTCCCCAAAAGCGTGATGATCAAATCATCTTCACTGACCGGAGCACCGACTGCGTCCAATTGCTCCGCCAGAGTCTTGAGTCTGTTGATGTGCTCCAGCACGTCATCACTTTCTCCCATCATTGTCGTGAAGAACCGGCGACGAAGGAAGAGCTTATTAGCCAAGCTTTTCTTC